TTTGTTTTCCCAACTCTTTTTCCCATCTCTTTTGAGAGCAGTGCTGTTGATAAAGTTATTAAAATAGTTATGCTTTGCCACAGAAATTTTTCTTCTTAACAGTACAATGCTTTTCTGCAATCTTGAATATTGGCAGTGTCTTTGATTTCCTACACTAGACAACGAGCCCTTATAGATTGTTTTTTAAAATTTTCCAGCTGACGTGTCTAGAAGGGCTTAAATCTTTTTATTTTGCCTCTTGGGATCCACTTTTTTGCTGATTATGCAATAGTGGAAAAAAACAAGAGATGGCAGCATGAATATTTTTATCTCTACTGTGATCAAAATTGCGAAGATTATGTTCCAGATCATTTTTATAATTCTTCCAATTTGTCTTAATGTTCCACTTGCTCTTAATATTTCCATTGCTTAAATTTTGGGTTTGTTTCTTCTGCATATGGATGTATTTGTAATGATCATTCGATAGCCTGAGCCAGGATTATACAAGACATTTCTAAAAGTGTTCAGAGCCATGTTTTGAGATACAGTGACTAAATCAGGTTTAATTTGAGTTCCATTATAGCATAAATAAGAGGCAGAATCTCCTGTAAGATAATTAAGTCCTAATTTATCAAAGTTTAAAAGATCCTTCATGACTGTGCCTGTGGCATTACTGTCATTATAGCTCCATCTTTTACTGTGTGCATTACACTCTCCAGTGTGACAGCATTTTGTAGGGAAGGAAATGAAGCTAAAATTAAACTTCTTATTGCCTGGAGAGCTATAGCATGTAAAGACAGTAAAGGCATTGTTGTTTTTCCAGTCATTAAGTTTGGTTAATTCAGCTCAGATACTCTAATGACAAAAAGAAGAGGTTAGGTTTTGCCTTATGCCTATCAGGATTCTAATGGCAATTCTTTTTGATTTTGGCAGAAGATGCAAATAAAAACCAGGGAATGAGTATCTACATAAATCACCAAAGAACGGGTTAACTTCGAGAATGATAAATAAGTCAAGATCTTGAGAATGAATGGCATTCATAATCTGGGTCTTTGTATTCTGGGAAAAAGTCACCTTCATTCCCATGCAAGATTCACAGCCCATTCTTTCCCATAATGTAATACAATCCAAATGCTGAAAAGAACAAGGAAGTAAGACAACGCTACAACAAATGTAGTGTTAACCAGGATGCACCATGAGGAGGCCTGTCTTGTTACACCCCTTAAAACAGATGTATAAAAGTATGTTTATTAAACCAGTTTTATCTCTGGCATTATTTATCGGCTTTGGGAAAGGCACTGATCTCCCGTTTGGTACTTCCCTATTTTGAGGATTAGCCATCCCATATTATAAACTTTCAGTTTTTTTTTTTTTTTTCTTTTTGGTTTGTTTGTTTGTTTTTTGTTTTGTTTGTTTGTTTTAGAAATAAAGGAAGAATCTGATACAGTTATAAAATTGATTAATACTTAGATTTTTCAAATGTAAATTGAACATTATATTTCTTCAGTTACTTCACTGAAAACTGTTTGTTTTGGCATTTTTATTAGCTTTTTGTACTCATGATAGATATCTTTACATACATGTTGACTTTATCAAGAAAAATATAAATAAATACATGAGTATTCTAAAACTAAAATTTGGTGATCATTGTTTTCTTAATTGTTAATATCAAAAATACTAATAATTAAGATCTTTATATCTGAGATTAGTAATTCAGTTTTTCTTAGCATTTAATGTTAGCTGTTTAAGACAAATGAAAGCAATATAAGTTTAAAGTAGTTTAAATGAAAAATTGTTGAAGTAATGTTGAATAGGAAAATTGTGAGTAAATTATCTGTTAATTAAATCCTTTTATTTACATTAATTATTCACATATTTCATTATTTGATCTATAATTTAATTGCATTGTAAAATAAAAAATATCAAACGTATTTCTTAATGCATATCTTTCCATGAAACTAATTATTGAAGAAAATTTTAGTTCCTGATAAAATTATTTCCTTAAAACTCAACATTTTAATTTACTATATATTATGTTTTTCAAGGTACAAAATGCTTATACACTGACATCAAGGAGTATATTCGAATCTCATCTGCTTTGAACAGTGGTAGATCTGTTAGAGATTTACAACGAAAAGAGCTTGAAACCTATTTTCAAGTAAGTGGTTTTATGTTTTTAAACTTCTGTATATATTGAATTTTGATTATTTATTGGTTCAATATAAAATGGTAATAATTAAAAAAACTAAGGAATATAGATATATCCTATTGTAGGTTCCTAAAGATTTGGTGAAAGTTGGCCCAGTATTACTTCTTGCTGCTCTTCCATTTGCCAATTATGTTATTTTGCCTGTGATGTAAGTATAGAATTTTATAGTTATCAAAGACACTGATTGCCTTCACTTTGTGCATTGTATTAAAATTATATTTGTTGACATTATATTTTCTTTAAATTTATGTCTGCATGAACATAAGATTTTAAATAACATTTCAATTATCAAGTAGTACCTCTTTATGTATAACAAAAAGTCTGTTGTGATCATTATTTCATTCTAAATTTTTGAATGTACCATATGAAAGTTCACATAAATGAAGTGGAAATTTTATGCTGAATCCATTTTTATGCAGTTTGTTGATTAGGTTAAAAAAATAACTGCTTATCTTTTTCCATCTTGTCTAATTTCAACCTCTATTTTGAATTAATGTGCATTTTTTATATTTTAAAATTAAGTCTACTAAATGTGTGGTTTTTAAAATAGTAGTTAAATCTGTTTTATTTAAAGTCCAAATTATATTGTTTATATTTTTTAAAGTTTTTATTTTTTAAACCTACACCAGACCTAGGCATTACCATAAGTCTGTGACAGGCAGCTCAATACAATTCAGAAACATTAAAAGAAGTACAGTTATTTTTTACAGCATTAGCCTTTGCCATATCAGTAAGTCCAGAACAAGTGTCCAAATGGTCATCGCATATGTCATTAATATCACATAATGGGCAAGATGGAGAGTCTGCTAAACCAAATCTGCGTAGGTGTTTCATGAGGTAGTCATGTCCAGTTTTTAATCTACTAGGTTGGTAGTTAGCAGTTTTTAATCTAGTAGGTTAGTCCATGAGGTAGTTGTTCAGTTTGGCAACACTGACAGGTCTAGGTACGTCGCAAGGAATGGAATTATCCATTAGGGAACCCCAAATCATCCTCTTCACAGGGTTCCCATTCTTCTCTCGAAGATGAGCTCAACATCTGGTTTCAATGATTCTCTTAGCACTGTGATAGCAAACAGGAGGAAACTATATCCAGCCTTGGCTAGAGTATCAGCTAACTCATTACCCGTGATTCTACAATGACTTGGGATTTACTGCAGAGTAATATTGCAACCATTATTTATTAGAGAATTTTTCACAAGCTGACAATTTAGAGCAGACCCATTGTTTGAAAGTATGACTGAAGAAATTGTTTTAATGATGGCCTGTGAATCAATAAATATCACAATGTTCTGATCATCTCTTTTACTGATTTAGTCAAGGCCATTTGGACAGCAGCCACTTCATCATCATAGTCGGTACAATTTGCACCAATAGCTCCACTTATATGTGCCAAGAGTTAACCCATGCACCAGCATTACTATTAGCACCTATAGCAGAACCATGCAACCAGTGTGTTGTTGAAATCTTTCTCCAATAGTGCCCAAAGCAACAATTTTCAGTTCTGTGTCAGTGTAGGATTTTTTACTGGCTAGCAGAACCAAGTCTAAATTATAACTTGCGTAGTTCAAATGTCTTAGAAACGCGCCAGTCTCAAGTAGTGGCTGTCTGTTAAAAGAAGGGATATTAAAAAAAAAAAAAAAGTTCATTTGTCACATGTAAAAAGGTAGGTTTAACCTACTCTCTGCAGGATTGTACATCTTCCAGAAATCACCACACCTCATCAATCCAATGAGACCAATTTGAGAGCCCTTATTTTTCTTCGACAAGTCAGAGGTTCAATATCTGTTTGCAATTGTATGGCCTGGATAGGCATTGAAGTATATTGTTTATAAATAGTATTTCATATAGAATATTCTTTTATATATATTGTATTCTTTTTGAAATTGCAAGAATGTGTAATTTTTTTTTAATATTGTTGTGTGTGAGGTATGGATTCTCAGATCCTTTTAAATAATCATTTGGATAAGTAATAAGAAATTTATAAGTTATTACAACAAGTCAAATCTTACATCAAAATAAGTAACTGTAAAAAGCTAAAGAAGAGAGAACATGAATACAGTACAAAGTCCAAAATCCGGACTCATTGGGATTTCGGCGATTCCGGATTTGGGATTTTTCTGAATATTAGATCATCAATTTAAATCCTTTAAGAATTAAAAAGATGAAATCGTAATTTATGAAATAAAGAACAATTATGATGTTAAGGGTATCAAATTTACAAAAAAAGAGCTTAATATTTATTTGTTTACTTTTATTAAACATTTCTTTCAGTGTAAGTTGTTTTAAGTTGCTTCCACAAAAAATTCAAAAAGTTCCTTTTTCCTATATCATATGTAGTTGACTTTCCAATGCCATACTCTTTGCATAATTTTGAGATGAATATGCTTTTATCCATTTTTTTTTGCAGCAATTCCAATTTTTTTTTTTAATGAACATCGAAACATGGTTTCGCTTTGTAGATCCTTGGCAGCTCCAGCTTTTTTTGACATAATCGAAAGTTCAAGCTTATTTTTATAAAATTGCCGTAATAAAACAGTATGCAAAAAATAATAAGGTGAATCAAATTAGAAGATTAGGGAGCAGCACAGTCTGCTACATTAACTAAAATGCCTTAGCATCATCAGTAAAGATAATTTTAGTCTAGCTTAATAGCGTCCATTATACATTATTGGCTATGTATCATAAGATTAGCAATGAAAGCCAAGTGGTTTCGCTAAATAGTGTCTTGCTCCTATTGCGTACTGAATTAAGCCTGAATTGTATTAGTTTAGTTTATTTATTTATTTCTTGCACATGCTTAAAACTAATCTGAGTCCTGAATAAACTCCCACATATACCTAAGCTTATATAGGCCGGGTTAGTTAGTACCGCTGGTGCAGTCTCTATGGCTCCTAAATTCTGCCTACAAAAGCACCTTCCTAAGTTCTAATTTTCACCACTTCTAACTTTGGATCCCCGTGCTTTCCCTAAATCCAAACTTCTATCCTTTTGGTGCTGCTTCCCCAATTCCGTAATTCTGCCGTCCGATGCCGACTATCTGCTGCGCTTCTAGGTTTATGATGAATAACATATCATTATTTTTAATTAAAATAGCACAATATAATTTGGGCCTATGAGTTTCATTAACAAAATTTATTTTAGCATATGAAAAGAAATTTTTGTTGAATTTTTCATCGTCAACATTTCTTAGAGCACTTAAAAATCTATAATCATCGCCAAGCGTAATGTTAGTATAAAAGGTTGCCATACTCTTGTTATTCAATTACTAATATAAAAAAAAGTTTAGACATCACTGCATGAGTTATTACTGAAGCTGTCATGTATTAATAAACATGAGGCGATGAAAGTAAAATATAATAAATAATTACTCACCAAGTCAGTGTCAGGGATATAAAATAGGTGAATGTTTCGGTTTGTTAAAAAAGAAGAATCATGTGTCATCACGCATAGAAGGTATTGTTAAAATACATTTTATCTTAACTGAGATGAAGGAAGTTAATTTTACAATAATTTTTAGTTGTTTTCTTGAAATTTACTGTAAATTTAAAATTAATAAAATCAAGAACAAAATCTTTTAAAATAGAAACCTTGTTAAACTTCTTGGAGGAAATGCTAAAGTTGAAATAATTGTTAGTAAATGTGTATAAAAGTTTCAAAAGATTTTTGGTAAAGCTGTATTCAATAAATTGTTGAACTGTGTTTGAAGTTTGTTAATATCTGAAGAAGGAATATTACTGTTTTTCTTTCTACCTCATCTTTTTGCTGTGATGGTCTTTTTCCTGAAAATTTTAACCTAGCTATTTGTTGTACTGTTAAATTCCATTTGTTTTAATTTAAGAAGATATATGTGAAGTCCATAAAGATAGAGTGTTTTATGTTTTAGAATGTGATTCTTTAAAAAATCTGTTTTGCAGATTAGGAATAATATCCAAAATTTTAATTGTAATATTATTTAAATAATTAAAATGTTCCAACTCTGCTGTGGCTTGCAATAAACTAGATTTATGCCGTGGTTGTAAAAGTTTCTTATTATATGATCTGTGATTATTAATCCTCAAATTGAGGTTGTTTTAGTCTAACTGATATATTTTAAACTACACATATTTCAGGTAAATATAGTTAAACATTTTTCAAAGAGACTTTTTGAATTGTGAAAGGGTTAGTTGGTGTGGCATTAAATCAACAAGTAAGGCATTTGGAATTGTTACATTCCTATATTTCAAAAGAGTGTAAATGAGCCCAAGGCTGCTTCACAAACTTTTATTTCTCATATGAAATTTATTTTTATTTGCAAGAGTTTAATATTAATTTAATCTTAAGTAATTTCAAAAATCATGACCTGTTGAGTAATGATTTATTTGCATAAATTACATTGTTTCCAATTATCTCAGTTGTGTTAATATTAGATGTTTGTTTTGAAAGTCATAATTACCTTTAAAAAATTTTTATGTATCTAAACCTTTTTGTTTACAATATTTCTATATATTTGTCATTCTAGAAATTTATGTGCTCATGTGAATCATAAATAGTCACCACCCTATTTCTCTTTTCATTATAATATTTATCTCCTTTTTCACAGTCTTAATGTAAATAAATTTTAAAAAATTGCACTTAATACATAAAATATTCATACATTCTGCATGAATGCAAGCAATATTAAACCTACTCTTATATATATATATATGTGTGTGTGTGTGTGTGTGTGTGTGTGTTTTGACAGCATTAACAGTATATTAATAATGTAATATCATAATATGGTGAATACTCACCTTAAAGTTTCTTCTACCATTTCTATAAATGAGTTCACAAATGGTGAATATCTTCTTTGCTGAAAGCTCAACTTCATCAGAATTCATAACAATGATCTAATACAGTCAAAATCGTTAATCCGGACTCGTGGGACTTCGGCGATTCCGGATATCATTTTTTCCGGATTATAGATCATCAGTTTAATCTGGTAAGATGGCATGCAGGAAATATATAAAAATTAAAATATGAAACCATAATATGAATAAAGAACAATTATGATCTAAAAGGTATCAAAATTTACAAAAAAAAAGCTTCATATTTATTGTTTACTTTATTAAATTTCTTTCAATGTAAGTTGTTTAAGTTGCTTCATTTTTTATGTGATAATACATTCTCTTA